TTACAGTTTTCTTTTTCTTGTGATGAGAACTTTGAAGATCTACTCTCAAAAACAGTATGATTTCAGGGTGTGGATTGGGTATATATTTTGTAATGCATGTAAGGAAGTGTTTGTAGACACATGTAAGAAAGATGGCTCTAAAAGTGCTGACGGCTCAGTGAGACTGAAAGAGTGTTCTATCAGCCCACGAATGTGTGGACCATCTTGGAACGCATGGAGGGGTGTATCGAAGCACACAGGGCAAAACCCCCATGTTTTAATGAGGTTCCTTCCTTGTCTATTGTCTAGCTGTGAACAGTGTTATTTTAGTGGATGGATGTGTAGACGATTCTGTAATGCACGCAGAGAAGTGTCTAGAAACGCAGGTAAAGATGTTTCTAAGAGTGTAGTTGAATAAAAAGAGAAAAAATTCCTCTCTGAGCAGCTTTTGAGTGCACCCCCCCACCTTTGTCACATCAGCGTGGACGGATCTGTGCTCTCCCTCAGCCCCGCCTTAGTGCACCCACGGAGTTTGATACGGCGTGCTTTCACTTTCATTCAATTAAAAATATTTTCAACTTTTGATCTCCTCTTTGACCCGTGGGTGTAATTTCAGTTCCAAATATTTGCGGATTTTCCAGATAATCATTCTGTGATTTCTAGTGTAATTCGGTTCTGGTCTGAGAACATGCTTCGTATGGTTTCCATTCTCTGACCTTCCTTTTTATTGCACCCCCCCCCCGCCATGCTCACCTGATTCCCCTTTCCTGCTTTATTTTTCTTCTTTTTTCTGCTTATGATGATCTAAGATAACTTCTAAGATATTCGACTTACTTATTTTATTCATTCTCTCTCTCTCCCCGTTGCTACTCCCAAGGGTAGGGATTGTTTGTTGCTGTTGTTCACCAATGTACCTCTAGTACCTAGAACAGAGCCTAACACACAGTAGGTGGTCGACACACACCTGTTGAGTGGGTGAATGAACAACTGGATCTCAATCCCTATTGGACATATCAGGAGACTGTTGCTCAGAGATGTTGTTCTCCTTCCATGAGGTCACACAGCAAGAACGGGGCAGAGCCGAGGTTGAGCAGGCCCATGGCCTTATGTTATATCCAGTTGATGGCACTGATTCTACTACCAATCCCTGAGCACCTACTGTGTGCCAGGTCCTGAAGGATGGCCTTGGACGTGCAGCTGTCACTCACCCAGTGAGACCATCCAGTCTTCGTGGCACTTACTTTGCCTCAGGCCCACCCACCTCAGAAGGCCCTCCCCTTGCTGGGGAGACCTGCTCTCGGTCCTCTTGGTTGGTGTACTCTGCATCCCCTCCTGTCCCTCCCTCCTGAGCCCCCATATCCATCGGGATCCTGATGCTCCCATGTGTGCTCAGCGGGTGTTTGCTGGGCGGACGAATTCTTCCTTCCTTCTCGGACCAGCCTCCATCTCCCCATCTGCAGGATGGGAACAGCCGCACCCATGCCTCACGCTGGTGGGAGGTTCTGCGTGTCCCATCGAGCAGTGTAACTGGAGAAGGCCCAGCTCATGCATGGCCCAAAGGGGCTTCCTTGCCATTCAATCCAATTTGAATTGTTTCCTTTCTCTACCAGTGGAAAGCCCCTCAAAAGAGGAATTGGGGTCTCGCCCTTGGGAGTACATGTGATAGTTTCCTATGGTTACTGTAACAAATGACCACAAATTTAGTGGCTTAAAACAACAGAAATTAATTCTTTTACATTCTGGAGGTCAGAAGTTCAAAATTTTTCACATGGTTGAAACCTAGATGTCGGCAGGGCCACGCTCCCCCGGAGGCTTTAGTGGGAGAATCTGTTCTCTCACCTTTTCCAGCTTCTAGAGCGGAATTCCTCGGCTCACAGCTCACTCCCGCATCTTCAAAGCTGGCAGTGTAGCGTCTAGCTTCAGAGGCAGGAGGGGGAGGTTTGAGACAGAGACGGAGACAGAGGAGAAGGCCGGGTGAGGATGGAGGCGGAGACTGGAGGGATGAGGCCACAAGCCAAAGAACGCAAGGAGCCCCCAGAAGCTGGCGGAGGTGGGAAGGATCCTTCCCCAGAGCCTTCCGAGGGAGCACGGCCCTGCCCACACCTTCATTTCAGGCTTCTTTTATTTCTCCAAGATAAGTTATATATTAATGCAATAAAAAATAAAAATAAATGAAAAAAATCCACAATGAACAAAATATCTAAAGTTTAAAGACAGACTTTATTGTTTTTCTTTCGGCTTTATTGAGATATAATTGACAATCAAAGTTGTATACATTTAAGGTGTACAACCTGATGCCCTGACATACATATACATTGTGAAATATTCACCACAACCAAGCCAATGAACACACTCATCGCCTCACGTTACTATTTTCCATTTTTTCCCTTTTCTGTGGTGAGAACACTGAAGATCTACCCTCTTAGCAAATTTCAAGTACACAGTACAAATTGTTGGCTATCGTCACAGCTGTACACAAGTTCTCCAGAACTTAGTCATCTTTCAAAGCTGAAACCTTGTACCCCTTGACCAATATCTCTCCATTTTTCCCTTCCCTCAGTCCCTAGTGACCACCTCTCTGCTTCTCTGAGTTTGGTCACAGAGGGCAGGGGCAGAAGCAGATGGACCATGGTGGAGGCTATTGCTGTGATCCAGGTGAAAGATGATGACGGCTCAGACCAGGAGGCACGTGGCGCTCGGGTGCTGGACGTGTTGTGAAGGTAGAGCCAACCAGAATTACTAACAGATTGGTCCTATTTCTATTTATCTAGGGTATCCGACAAACCACCCCACACTTAGTGGCATAAAATAATCACCTCAGGGGCCAGCCCAGTGGGATAGTGGTTAAGTTTGAGTGCTGTACTTTGGTGGCCTAGGGTTTGCAGGTTCGGATCTTGGGTGCGTACCTACTCACCGCTCATCAAGCCATGCTGAGGTGGCGTCCCACATAGAAGAACTAGAAGGACCTACAATTAGGATATATAACTATGTACTGGGGCTTTGGGGAGAAAAAAGAAAAATAGGAAGATTGGCAACAGATGTTAGCTCAGAGCCAATCTTCCTCAAGAAAAGAAAGAAAGAAAGAAAGAAAGAAAAAGAAAGAAAGAAAGAAAGAAAGAAAAAAGCACTGTAATTAAAAAAAAAAATCACTTCGTTATGCTCGTGGATTCTATGGGATGGGGCACGGTAGGGACAGCCTGTTTCTGCTTCAAACTGACTGGGGCCTCAGACAGAAAGACACAAAGGGCCAGAGGTGACACTACTGTCCTGGGGGTGGAATCATCCGGAGGTGTGGTCACTCGTATGTCTGGCCCCTGGGCTGGGATGTCTTGAACTCTGGCCTCAACTGGGCTTGTTGAGTGGAGGCTTGGTCTTCCTCCCAACATGGCGGCCAGGAGCACGTGTCCTGAGAGAGCCGAGCAGAAGCAGCATGGTAGCTGTCACTTCATCACATTCTATTGGCTATAAGAGAGTCACCAAGGCCCAGATTCAAGGGGAGGAGGAGTTGTCTCTACTTCTTGATGCAGTGGCAAGGTCACGTTGCATAAAACCAGGTAGGACATGAGATATTATTGCACCATCATTTGAAAATTCAATTTGCCATAACCATGGAATGAGAGAGAAGAGAGGAGTCATGGATGATTCTAAGGCTGTTGGCCCCAAAGGGTGATGGTGGTCCTTTTGAGAAACATAGGCAGGCTGCCCTCTTGGGTAGGGTTCTCCCAGTGGCTTCAGTCTGGCTGTCCACAGCCTTCACCTGGCTCACAGGAAGCTCGCACATCTTGCTGTACAAAGATGCAGCCCTTCTTGCTACGTCCATCCTTTTGCTTCATGCTGCTTTGGGTGGGACCAAAACCTCATTCCTTGGTTTCCCCATGGGGTGGGCACACCTCTCCCTCTCTCTTTAACTTTCACTGTTTAAAAACCTTGTAGTCAATGTTAAGCTCAGAGTGAAGGACCTTCCTTTGCAAGTTCAGTCTATATGACTGTGGTAGCCAGTCTTCAAGACAGCCGCCTACGTCTTGATATTCACATCCTCTTGTAGTCTCCTCCCACAAGGACTCAGATCTCATCCACGTGATGAATAAAGTGTAGCAGAGACCACGGTTTGTGACTTGTGAGGTTAGATCACAACAGGCACTGTGGCTTCTGCCTTGGCCTCTGCTGTGTTGGGAGGACACTCAATTATCCCTTTGGAGAAGCTCACGTGGCAAGGAACTGAGGCCTCCCACCAACAGCTGTGTGAGAGCTCCATCTTGGATGCAGATCCTCCAGCCCCAGTCCAGCCTTCAGATGACTGTGGCCCCAGGCACCATCTTGACTGCAACCATATGAGAGAATCCAAGCCAGAACCACCCAGCTAAGCTGCTCTCGAATTCCTGAACCACAGGAACTGTGAGATAATAAGTGCTTCTTATTGTTTTGAATCATTAAATTTTGGGATAATTTGGATGCAGCTATAGATAACTGAACCAATGTCCTAGCACTTCACTGTGGAATGTGGGAGTACTTAGCATCTATCACTTTAACATCTTGTTACAAAGGTCACCACCTCCAGGAAGCCTTCCCCGATCACCTATCTACACTAGCCCTCATCCTATCCCATTACCTTGTTTTATTTTTTTAAAATAATACTTAGTCACAATATAAGAAATAAAATAAAAAAACAAACTATAGTGTTTATTTCTATATTTCTTTACTGGTTTGTTGTCTCTCCTGTGTCAATGGAAAGTTCCATGAAGGAAGGAGCTTGTCCATCTTTCCACCCAGGGCTTGGTGCCCTATAGGAACTCAACGCAGGGGCTGTTGTCATTCTTACTTCTACGCATGAATCCAAACTGGGGAGAAAGACAAATGTGTGTGTGTGGTCTGGGGGGTTCCCCTCAAGATGCATTTGCATGTTCTTGACTTTTAAAGAAAAAGAGAACTGAGAGAGCCCCAGACACGTGAGTAGGAGGGACAAGGAGCAGAAGCTGTCAGGTTCTGGCCACTCTTTCTCAGCTCCTGTGTAAGCTGCAGCCATGCCCACCCACTATACTAACTCTGTGTGTCGGGACCTGCCAGGTATGGCCCTGGCCAGGCGTGGGCTGGGGGCCGGGGGTGGTCAGGACCCAGGTACAGCATCCCCACCCTGGGGCTAGATACCAGGGCCTGAGGATGGAGGAGGGAACGGGCTGGGCTCTCACTTGCCTTTCCTCTGGAAGGGAACAGAGAGGAGGAGGATGAGGATGATGACGATTACGAGAACATGGCGCCATCCTACAAGGACCTTCCTCCTAAGCCAGGTAAGAACACTTTTCAGAGGCCAGGTGAAGAGACGTGTGGCCTGGAGGATCAGGTGGGGAGCAGGGCCCCAGGGGCATTAGCCGGGCATCGTAGACGCATGGTCAGCCTCTCGTGTACCCAGCCCATGCCAGGCACCGTGATGGCGGGAGCATCCCTGTCTCTGCCCTGTCCTTGAGGATCTCTTAGTCTGATGGGGGAGGCAGTTCTGGGCACAGCCTCAGGCGAGCAGGTCTGAGGGGGAGCGACCAAGGGATTGAAAATCCTGGGGGAAATTGAGGGCTGTGCCCGCAATGGTGGGGGGATTGGGAGTCAGAGGATGGGACATTGGAGTGAGACTTGAAGGATGAGTAGGAGTTTATTGGGAAGAGAAGCCCAGAGAAGAAGAGGTGGATGCCAAGGCCCTGAGACATGAAAGCTGGTGTTTCAGAAACTGCAGGTGGACCGTTGGCTCCCCAACCTCCTTGCATTCACATCCAGGGCCCAGATTTGCCTTTAGACTTGGGTGGCCCAGGCCTGGCCCGGGACTCAGCAAGAGTCTGATAAGTGGGTATAAAAGTGGAGGTTTTGGGTTTCCCTGAGTCAACTGCCACCAGGGCCCCTGAGGGCTAGCCGTGCTGCCCTGGTGACCTTGGACGGGGGCCATTCCATGTGGGATGGGGCTCCACATCCCCCTCCTCTGAGTCCAGACTGGGGCCAACCTGGGAGGTCCCAGGGCACTGTGGGGCTCAGCATGAGAAGGGAGATGAACTAGGCTCTGCTGTTTGACTGCCTGTCTCCAGCTCCAACCAGGTCCCAACATGATCCTCAAATCCAGCTCCAAGACTGATCCCATCCCCATCCTCAAGGCCACCCTTTCCACAAACTTAGCCCCCTCCTCATTTCCAAATCTAACACCATCACTATGCCCCAACACAACTACAACCCAACCTCAACTTCTTCCCTTTTTCCAAACCCAAGTCCAACCCAGCCTCAACCTCTTCCCCATCCCCAAACACAGCTACAACCCCATTCTTCATCCCAACCACATCCTGCCTCACAAGCCTTCTCCCATGTCCATCACCATCCCCAACCCATCTTCAACCCCATCCTCACGCCAACCCAACCCTCATCCTGGCCCTAATCTTGACTCCATCCACATCCCCAAATTCAACTGCGTCTTTAACGTAGGGTAACCAACTGTCCCAGTTTTCCCAGGGGTGAGAGTTTTCCTGGGATGTGGGACTTTCAGTTTTAAAACTGGGAAATTCCCGGGTGATCTAGGATGGCTGGTCCCTCTATCTTAACCCTGTCCCCATCCCTAACCCCAATTCCATTCTCATGCCCCGCCCCAGCCCTAACCTCAGTCCTGTTTCTATCACTGCTGTCCACCTTGTTCCCATCCTCAGAGCAGCTCTAACTCTGAGCTTCTCTTCCCCAGCTTCGATGGCTCCACCGAGACCTCCAAGGGCAGGTGAGCTGGGGCCGGGGTACAGCAGGCCCAGTGCCAGCTTTGCCCTGCTCTGGGCCTGAGCAGCCAACCCTTCTTCCCTCTTCAGGAAAGAAAACAGAGAATCCCCCACGTCCCTGCAAACCCCCAAAGGTCACAGGTGAGACTCTAGGGCTGGTACCTTCCTGTTCACGTGTCTGGAGCCCTCCTCTGTGTGACCATTGTCTTTCTGACCTCTTCCAGGCCTGGACCTCACCCCTGTCACCTTCACGTCCCCTCAACTGGGTGAGCAGTGGGAGGACCCTTTAAGAATCCTGAGAAGGGACACTTGGAAGTCCTGCCTCCAGTTCCCCAGTTCTAACCAGAGAACAAACCAGAGGGGATGGGGGCCGTTGATCTTGGAAGACAGAGTCTTTCAGCAACTTCTGAGTAAACCTCTCTCTCGCTTTCTCCTAGGCAGTGATCTGGAGCATCCTCCATTCCAGCCATCCCTAGCCAGTAAGTCTTCCAGGTGTGCCCTGTCTACCCTCACATGGTCGCCAGTGTAGTTGAATCAGACCTATAGCTCTGGGGTGAGACCCTGGCCAGAGGAACTTCTCCTTTTAGAAGCTACTCCTCCCTTAGTCTAAACCAGACCCCAGGGACCCAGAGTGTCTGCCTGGTCCCCTTCAGGCCCCACCTCCTGCTTGCATAAGGTACAGGAAATGTTCTCTGCCCCGGATGTGAGGGTCCACAGGCTTCCTTGAACTGGGAGAAGCTTAGGAAGGGGCTGCTGGAGAGTAGAAGATAATACATCATGGATGTTAAGAGCAGAGCTCAGTCCAAGTCATGCGTGACGTTTCCGAGCCCTCAGTTTACTCGTTTGCAAAATGGGAATAATATTCACATCTACGTCATAAGGGTGAGGATCCAATAAGATAAGAAGGATGTAACAGGATATGTGCTTGGCACACAGTAAGAGCTCCATAAATGCTCTGGGCTTCTTCAGGGTTCTCTTTCCCCAACACCCTCCTGCTAACCCATCTGGTGATCTAGTCATGACCACTGACCTCTGCTCTTTGAGAAAGGCTCAAGGGTCACTTCCTCACACTGAAGCACCTGTGTCAGTCTCTCTGTCCCCAGCCCCAGCCGCAGCAACTCCCGTGCCTTGGCTCAGTCAGAAGTCCGGGGGTCCCGGGTGCCACCAGGAGGAGAGACTGATGGTGTACCTGTGTCTGCTGGTGGTGGTGTCGCTGCTCCTGGGCTGCACTGGGTTGGCTGTGACCTTGATTAAGTGTGAGTGGGCTGAGGATGGGGCGTGCAGGGAGACTGGGAACGAGGCACAGGGGGACCCGTGCTGAAACTGGACTCCTCCTTATAGACCAGGAGGTGGTGGAAGAACTGAGGATGTTAACCTTTCAGCAGATGGCCTGGCGAGCAAATGGTGAGCACGTTCAATCGTCCCTTCATACCACACATATCGGGCACCAACATGACCCTCAAACCCAGCTCCAAGAGCAGCCCCAACCCCGTCTTTGCAGGCACTGTGCTAGGTACCGGGCGTGGGTAGGACAGTGAACACATCAGACACAGTCCCTGTCTCTGTGGAATGTGTGTGTGTGTGTGTGTGTGTGTGTGTGTGTCTGTCCGGACCTCCACTGTCCAATATGGCGGCCATGAGTCACTGTGGCTACCGAGCCCTTGAAATGTGGTCATTCTGCGCCGGTATATGCTGTAAGTGCAAAATACACACCAATTTCAAAGACTTGCTACAAAAAATGTAAAATATCTCAGTAATAATCCTTAATATCAATTACAACATTGAAATGATACTATTTTGGACATATTGGGATAAATAAAAATAGCATTCAATTTTTACCTGTTTCTTTTGACTTTTAAAAAATGTGGCAACTAAAAATTTTAGAATTACCTATGTGGCTCACATTTTATTTCTGTTGGACAGCACAGGCATAGACAGCCATTTACCAAATTATCACCCAAATGAATATAAAACTCCAAATTTAGAGGAATAGTCCAAAGTAAGAGGAAGGTGATTCTATGAAAAAGTCTATCAAAGGATCTTGACCTTATCTTTGGGAGGGTCATACAAGGCTTCCCCAGGGAAATGGTGCTGCATCTGAGTGAAGGAAGAGAAGGAATTAGCCAGGTGATGGGTGGAGGGTCTCAGGCATGTGCAAAGGCCCTGTGGGTGGAGGCAACATTGTAGGCACAAAGGAGGAGGACGGTGCAGTTTGACAAATGAGAGATGGTGGTGGCTTGGAGGAGGGTTGTGGCCATGGGGATGTGGAGAAGTAGGTGGAGTAGAAAGGTTTAGGAGGTAAAATTGGCCAGACCCCTGGGGATGGATTGAGAATGGTGGTGAGCGAGAGGGAAGGGTGTCAAGGATAACATATATATGTTATCTATCTATCCATCTTATGTGTCTATCTTGTCCAACTGAAGGGCCATCTGCTGATGACCCCAGGGAGTGCTGGAAGAGGGCGTGTTTGTGAGAGTAGTGGGAATACGCACACTAGTTGTAGAAGAGTCTTCTGGGCTGCCATAGCCTTCACCATGATTGCTGAGGTCTGAAAACTGCTCCATTCCACATTCCCTCACCTCACACCCCAAATCAAGCCACTCTGCTGCTCAAACCCCATCAATGGCTTCTCACTGTCCAGAGTCCAATGCCAAACCCTTGGCTTGACATTCAAGGACTCGGACACTGAACCTTGCCCTGCTTTGAGCTCGAGCTCCTCTGAGGTCCCGCTCCAGCTCTGCCGCACCAGCCTTCCCCAACATACTTGCCTCTATATTGCTTCCAAGGCGGTCACTGCGTGCTGTGCCTCCCCCTCCCCCTCACAGTTACGGAATCACCATCTTCCTTCAAAACCCACCTCCTCCAGGAAGTCCACCATCCCCACTCTTCCCCAAGCCCCAGGGATTAATCCGTCCCCTGAGCCACTCTAGGAACCACCCCACCCCTCCATGGGCTGAGCATGTCATTTTTGAGTTCCAGCACAGGAAGAGCTCTTGCTTCTCCTTGGTGTGTCTGTAGTCAGTTGTGGGTGGGTGGGTAGGTGGATGTTTGGGTCTCTAACCCTCCAGCCCATCCCCACTGACAGTGACTGGAATGGCAGGGCTAGCTGGCCTGAAGAAGGACATTGACCACATAAGAGCTAACACCAACCAGTCCCTGGCGGAGCTTCGGGGCTTATTAGGTGAGTGGGACTCGGGCAACTGCCCTGAGATGCGGGGCATGGCAGGGCTGGAACCCTGCACAAATCCCTGGGAGTGATTCTCAGTGCAGCCTATGGGAATGGTGGCCCCTGGAGCAGAGCAGTGCACAGCCCACACAACTGCACATGTCACACCCTGTACATGATCCTGGCTCTAGGGCCACTCTGACAGCATCCTGTCCTGTCCCCAGACTGCAGCAGGGTCACCTGTCCTGAGGGCTGGCTCCCCTTCGAGGGCAAGTGTTACTACTTCTCTCCGAGCACCAAGCCATGGGATGAAGCCCGGACGTTCTGCCAGGAGAATTACTCTCACTTGGTCATCATCAGTAGCTTCGCTGAGCAGGTGAGCTGTCCCTCCAAGCCCCTGAGGACCAGCAGGCCAGCCTGCATCTCCCAGGATTCACACACCCTTCCCTGTCCTGGATCGAGAGAAACCGGGCTTGCTTTTGAGCCACTACAACTTTAATAGTAAGCTCTTACTGAGATTGTATCACGCAGAGGTTGTGTTCATTTATCCCGTGCACGTCTCAGTTTTCTCTCTAACATGGAGACAGAATAATGATTGTCTCTTAGGTAGCACTTTCTATTCTCCAGGCTGTATTTCAAACATTTTACGTCTTTCACGTGTTAACATAATCCTCACTACAACCCTATAAATTAGTGTGTGATCAGAAGAGGTTATGTTAGACTGAAGTAACAGACAGTCCCCATAACCCAATGGTGAAAGTGTATGGGGAAAATCATACACTGATTATTAAAGCTTTTGAATGTACAAAACAAGTCACAGGGACACTCCTGTGCCTTACAGGGGTAGGGAAATAGCTTCCCCTGTGTGTATCGAGGAGAAGAATTGGAATATGTGTAAGCAACTTTAACGATTCAGTACTACTAGAGTTATCAGTAATACCATCTGGACACAGTGCAGTCATTTGCACTTTGCAGGTGAGGAAACTGAGGCACACTTCACCTAAGCAACTTGCCTGCAGTCACTCACAGCTGGTGGGTGTCAGACCTGCGAGCTAAGCCCAGGTAGCTGGTTTCAAAGTCCACGCCCTTGACATAAACCTCATAGCACTATTTGATTAGTGTCTGTGTGGTGTAGTTTTCCCATCCTTTCACTTTTAACCCATTGATGCCATTTTATTTATTTGTTTGTTTATTTATACTTGACATATAACATTAGTTTCAAGTGTACAACATAATGATTCGATAATTGTATGTATTGCTGACAATCACAGCAACAAGTGTAGTTAACATCCATCACCCTGCGTAGTTACAGTTTTTTTTCTTGTGATGAGAACTTTTAAGATTTACTCTCTGAGCAACTTTCAAATATGCAATACAGTATTATTAACTATAGTCACCGGGCATTACACTACATATCCATGACTTGTTTATTTTATAGCTGGAAGTCTGTACCTTTTGACCACCGCCACCCATTTTCCCCACCCGCCATCTCCCCCACATCTGGCAACCACCAATACTTTTCTTTTTTTTTCTTTGATTCCACATATAAGTGAGATCATATAGTATTTGTCTTAGTCTGTTTGACTTATTACACTTAGCATAATGCCCTCAAAGTCCATCCATGTCGTAACAAATGGCAAGATTTCCTTCTTTTTTATGGCTGAATAGAATTCCATTGTGTGTATATATGTATATATATGTGTGTGTGTGTGTGTGTATGTATTTCACATTTTCTCTATACATTCATCCCTCAGTGGACACTTAGGTTGCTTCCATGTCTTGGCTATTGTAAATAATGCTGCAAATGAACATGGGAGTGCAGATATCTTTTCAAGTTTCTATGTCGTTATTTTTAAGTGAATTTCTTGCAGACAGCGTATAGTTGGGTGGTGTGTGTGTTTTTTTTAAATTTAATTTGACAACCTCTCACTTTTAATTGGTGTTTTTAGACCATTTACATTTAATGTACTTATGATTTGGCTGGATTTAGGTCAACCATCTTATTAGTTTTTTCCTGTATATCCCCTCTGTTTTTTCCTATCCTTCTGTTTCATAGCATCATTTGTATGACTTGCTAATATAGCAGAGTTTTGGGATGATTAAATTACAGACTGTCAGCAGAGCAGGTATCAGTCCTAGAAATATCACTTTGTTTGCTTTACATCACTCACTGAGTTCTCCTTTGGAGCTCTCGTTATACCAGGCTGGTGGACGTTTAGTCTCAGGTGGTTGAGATCATCTGTTTTTCTTCTGAATGGGGACAGCCTATGTGGGGTCGAGGTGGAGGGAGACGTGAATGGTCCCTGAGATCTTCAGTCCAAGCTAGTATCCACTGGGACGTCCACTGGCTGGATGAGCCTGGACAATTTATTTAAGCTCTCTGTGCCTCAGTTTTCGCATCAATGAAGTGGGGATAATAATAATAATGCTTGCTTCAGTGGGTCACAATAAGGGTTAAATGAGGTAATCTATGTAAACTGTGTAGCTCACTTATTAATTCATTAATTCGACCAACATTTCCTGAGCACCTACTATGTGCTAGGCACTATTCTAATTTGATGGGCAAGGCAGCCTTTTTCTCTTTCTGGTTTCCTGACACCTCTCTGGGGCTTTACCTAGGACACAGGTCCCAGGTCTTCTCTACTTTTTAGAGTCTCCAAACCCATCTGGGAGTTTGACCATCACCTGGGGATCACTGTGCATGAATGCAGAGCCCCCCTCTGGCACCCACCATGTCCACATCTTTATAACTTCTTTCCCACTGCAACCTCTTCTCTCCACCCTTTAGAGAATCTTGGTCTTGTGATAAGATTGGGTGAGTGAAGTATGATCTACATACAGTAAAATGCACAGATCCTAAGTGTAAGTTCAGTGAGTTTGACATATGTATACAGTACACCCGTGTAACTGTGAACCCAATCAGGATGTAGAATATTTCCACACCCCAGGGAGTCCCCTCCTGCCCCTTTCCAGTCACCTCCCCACCCCCACCCCAGGCAAGTACTGATCCGGCATCCCTCACCGTAGATCAGTGTGCCTGTGGAGGAGTTGCTTTTAATCATGATATTTTCTTCATAATCTTTCATCTTTGGCTCAAAGTGTTTTTCCTTTTCTTCTAAAGGCATGGGCTTTTGAAATACAAAAGCCAGGGAGCCCCTTTTCTCTCCTTTCTTTTCCTCTTTACATTCTGCCCCACATTCGCAAGCCCTAAATGTATGTGGGACAGAGCAGAGGGTGGACCCTCACCCTGAGGGTTGTGTAGAAGAATTGATGGCTGAATGGAGTTTGTATTTGCAGAACTTTGTCACCAAGGCTCATGGCTCTCCGCGGGTGTATTGGCTGGGGCTGAATGACAGGGACCGTGAAGGGGACTGGAGGTGGCTGGATGGATCACCCGTCACTTTGAGGCAAGTATCCAGGGCTCTTGGGGTCTCTGCTCCTTGTGTTCCTTATGCAGCCCAAGCCAGCAGATTCTCTGGAATCCCCGGCTGGGCTGGACAGAGGAGGCACAAGGGTGCTTTTTTTCTAATAGGGCTTCTGATCCCTGTACCTTTAATTCTTCTTCTATTGCAACATCTCTACCTTTTAGCACAACTGCTCAAATACATCAAGTCCCCAGGCCAATGGTTGGGAAAAAAGGAAATGAGAGGTGCCTACAGGGTGTGAGGAAGAGGAAGATTGGTTTGCCAAAAGGATGAGCAGGATCTCATTTTTTTTTCACTCTACGTATATTAGCTCGTTTACTTAATCTTCTTAATAATCCCATAAGGAAAATACTATTATAATCTCCATTTCAAAGATGAGGAAACTGAGGCACAGAGAGGTTAAGTGACCTGCCCAAGCTCAGACAGCAAGCAGGTGGCCGTGCCAACCAACCTAGCTCCAAAGTCTGCACTCTTAGCCATTATGTTTACTTCCTCAAGGAGTGTATGTGTCGTATTTTAAATAAATATTAACAAATTGTCCCTCATACTGGTTATACCAATTTATTCTCTCACCAGCTTGACTATGCTTTTTTCGCACGCACGTTCATCAAACTTTTGGAATTTTGTTGGTTTAATTATAGGTGAAAAATAGAATCCCAACGTAGTATTAATTTGTGTGTTTCTTATAATGACTGAGATTGGGTATCTTTTTGTATGTTTAATAGCCATAGGTATTAACTTTTCTGTGAATAACCCGATTCATATTGTTTGTCTCTTTTTATATTGGGATTTTGGTCCTTTTTCTTATTGATTTCTAGGAGCTCTTTATATGTTAGAGATATTAGTGTTTTGTTCTAGGATCTCATTTTGTATTAAAGATTCCTGGAAGGAGGCGCAGCTCTGTAAATAGAGATGGCATGGCATGGGTAGCACTGCAGGTACCCAGTTTAGATTCCTTCATGGGGCTGGTGCAGCTATCTTCCAGCAGGGGGCATTGGCTGCTAAAAGGTCACAGTTACGGTTTCTCCAGAGAGTTGTCCTCAGCTGAATGGAAGCCGGCTCACCTAGGAGGTTACCCTACTCCCACTGGGGTCAGCTCACAGCCGACGACTGGCCAAGAGAAGCCTGGACCCATTGTCTCAAGTTGGGATGGCTCTATGGTGCTATTCACACTCCAGAGCTCCTGGTGGGGTCAGGCTGAGGCTGGACCCCACTGAAGCCACGTCCCGGTCACCTCCATCCTCTGGTCCATGCTGCTTCTCTCACTCCCTCTCTCCTGAGAGCATCCCTGAATACACCCTGTGCACCTGAACTGCTGGGCCAGGCTCTGCGTTAAGGGGAGCTGATCTAAGACGTTACAATCGCTGGAAGGTTGGGAGGATTAGGGGTGCAAAGGAAGGATTCTTTGGAAGAGGAGGCAGGAACTGACCAGATGCAGGAAACTGGTTCAGGTGTGGGGAGACTGTCAGGGAAGTGGGCTCAATTAGGACAGGCAAGGAGGGGTGAAGGGAGTGAGGCAGCATCCTCAGGTAATTCTGACAGGCTGAGGAAATGATTCAAATGAAAGAAAACGCCCTGAAACATGAAGGCCTTTCTTTTTCCCCTGACATTCTTTCTAAAAAATTTAATAGACTTAATTTTTTTAGAGCAGTTTTAGGTTTACAGGAAAATTGAGCAGAAGGGACAAAGATTTCCTGTGTATATACTCCTTCTCTCCCACACACGGTTTCGTCTGTTACAATCGGGCACTAGTGTGGCGCATTTGTTACAACTGATGAACCAATATGGACACATTGTTACTAACTAAAGTCCATAGTTCATATTAGGGTTAACTCTTTGTGTTGTACATTCTCTGGGCTTTGACAAACACAGAACAGTAGTTTCATGGCCCTGAGAATCCCCAGTGCTCCACCTCTTCATCCCTCCCCACCCACTTTCCCCATCCAGCTTCTGGGACCCGGAGGAGCCTAACAACATGCATGACGAGGACTGTGCCAGCATGAACAAAGGGGGCACCTGGAATGACCTCTCCTGCGACAAAACCACGTACTGGATCTGTGAGCGGAAGTGTTCCTGTTGAAGCCCAGGCTGAGGCTGGGTGGGGTCCGCACCTGAGTGCCCCTTCGCTCTTGAGAGGAGGACCACCTGCCCTTCATGAACGGCTCTGCCTTCCATGAACCAACATGGACGCACCCCAGTGGAACCAGCAGCCTGGATGCAGCAAGTTCCCTGGTGCAAGTCAGACCATTTCCAGGGCAAGGACGTGGAGGTTTGTTCAGTTGGATGGTGTCGTGGTCCGTTCGGGCTGCTATAACAGAACCATAGACTGGGGGACAACAGACAGGTGTTGCTCACAGTTCTGGAGGCTGGAAGTCCAAGATCAAGGTGCAGGGAGATTCCATGTCTGGTGAGGGCTCTTCCTGGTTCATAGACACATCTTCTCTCTGTATCCTCACATGGCGGAATGGGTGAGGGAGCTCTCTGGGGTTTCCTTCAAAATTCCAAAATAGCCGTATTGAAAGCTAATAAAAATTAAGTTATAAGAGGTATCCCAAAGAAAAGTCTATTACGTTCTGGCTTTACAGACATCCATATAATCTACCTTCGAAGGAGAACCCAATATGAGCCCCTCCCAGAGTTAGTGAGATTTTGAGATTTTCTGGGAAACTGTTACGTTATTCCCTTAAACAGTTAAGGGGAAACTAAAATTAAAAATTAATGGAATTGTTTAATACTGCCAGAAATACAGTTTGGATCCAACTATTCTTTTATAAATTAGTGAGTTTTGTATTGTACCTGATTCATAGCAAAAATTTAATGAAAACTATTTAAGGTCTCTGCTTGCATCTGTCTATGTACCTATGTATGTTATATATATGATGTTTTTCTACCTCTGGGTGGTATAATTTCTAAAGGAGCTCTATTTAATTGGCTTAAAGTAAGCTTATATAAATTATTTCTAAATGTAATAGAAACTAATCCAAATGTCTTTCAAGTTAACATGATATAAAATAATCTTTGGTAAATGAAAGCTTATTTAAGTTTGTTGGTTTTATTGAAATAAACATGTTTTCAGAGTTATCAGCGTTGGATATGATACACACATGTTATCTCTGTTACAAAACTTGTCAGCAAAAAATAATGACAGAATAATAACTGATTTTGTCTAATGTCTCATGAAATTTTTGTGGGAAATCTAAATATAATTACTGGAAACAAATAAACTAAACAGACATGAAAAAGATAAAAGATTTTGGCTCAAATTTTTAACAATAATTATGTTATGGTATATGTACTTAAAATAACTTCAAGACATTTTGATAACTTGAAACCTTAGAGATTTGTTAAATTAAGTTAAATGATAAAAATTTATTGAATATCTAGGTCATTTCCACATAAGATAAATTGTTAGAATTAATTACTAAACATAGATTTATCTATCTTTGGCTTCTTATTTCAGAGAAACTGGAAAAATACTTGGGTTTATTAATAAACATGTTTTGTGCCACATTGAGGAATTTTCTATGAGAAACATGTTTCTAGACAGTATTGGTGGGTCTGCCAATACATAGGATCCTAATATAAAAAAATAAGGAAAATATCTCCGTATGCAAGGAAAGTAAGATGTATGTTTTCAGTAAAGAAGGTATAGGAATGGAGATATTTTTGTTTGTTTTGTTAAGAAAGATAAATTTGTCCTAAAGTACTAGGAAGGAAAGGAGGCACGGGACAAATTCTGAATGTAAAAGAAAGCGATGGAAGGTTTGTGGAAGAAAAACCCTGAAGAAAGAGTTTTGTGCCTTGTGACGTTGGCTAAGATTGAAATGAATTATTAAGTGAATGTTTTAATATCAAAAGTAAGCTGGTGCAAAAATTAGAATTTAGTTTTCTTTCTCTTAAAAGGATAATTTTCTTGGACTTTTAGTCTGCTCTTGTTAAAGATATTATGAAAGTTTTTCTTCACCTTACAGTAAGTCTACCTAAAAGGCAAGGATTCTATGTTTTGCTAAAATAATTTCCTGTGTTCAGAAGGAATACGTGTTCTAAAAAATTATACAAAATTCCTAAAAATCTGATATGTTCTGGTATAATTCTAGTCATTATCTTTTTTCTCCCTAAACCACAAGTTAGGAGTACTAGAATGGCTTTATCATGGATTTAGAGCTGTAGAAAGTAAAGATGTATGAAATCAAATGATTCCCCTAGTCATTATCTTAAAATGTTGTAACCAATTTCCTTGTCAATTGCATTATAGTGTTAAGTCTTTTGTCATTACAGATAGTTGTTTTACTCTGACACTTTTACAAATATGTTTCATCTTCAGAGAGATTCATGGCAAGGACTCTGACATTTACTCCAACATATAGGTTTCTGAGGAACTTTCAGATCCTAAAAATGAACTGGGTAAGAAATTGCAGAACTCTAATGGAGAAGCTGATGGCCTCATAAAACTGCTAACAAAAGATCAATTGAGGAGGTTCCTAGGACTGACTGGATACTGTAGGAATTGGGTGCCTAACTTTTCACTCATTGCTCAAACTTTATATGTATTACTTAAGTCTGACCAGTCTGATTTGATTGAACGGACCTTGCTTCCATCACCATGGGAGGAAAACGAACACTACTGCATTTTATTAACAGATTACCTTCTTACTCCTGGGAATGACCTGCAGAGACTCTCATGGATGATGCTGATCTAATCTGGTTTACAGATGGGTCCTATTTAAAGGATGAGCAGGGACATTACCAGGCTGAATATACATCCTGTCCAGCCTCGAGAATGCCCACTGCTGTTAACCCTGCTACCCATTGGAAGATTTCCTTCTAGAGGCTCAAGAAATCGCCATGAAAGAAAATAAATCAATTTGGCAAGAAAAAGGGGGAGTTTTTGACCCTGCCACATAAATGTGATTTGGACTTGATAAAATCTATAGTAATTGATATAAATGTATAGAATAATTGCTATTACTCTAACATGTACATCATTCAACTCATTGGGCACTTGAAAAGATGATTTAATGGGGAAACAATATTTTTGGAAACTCCCATGGTGGCTCAGGAAGCATATGCTTGTTGTACTATATGTCCTAAATATAATCCCAGGAAACCACTCCATGGGTCACAAGGCCACTTTCCCCTTTCTAAGGGACCCTTTGAGCTATGGCAATTGGACTTTGTTCAAATATCACCATCTCAAGGATATAAATATATTTTAGTAATGATTGGTATGTTTTCACATTGGGTTGAGGCTTTCCTTGCAGAAGAGCAATGGCTTTAGTAGTAGGTAAATTATTATTGAAAAGGATAATTCCTGTTTGGGAAATTCCTATCGAATTACACAGTGACTGGGGAACTCATTTCACTGGACAAATAATTAAATCCATTTGTGACAGTGCTCCTCAATCTTAGATCTACACACTTTGCTCAACATCGGCTGTCTGCTTTTGAAATAATAACAGGACAGCATATGCAATTAGATGAGGGAATGTATGAACGAACTTTGCCCGAGGGAGATATATTACATTATCATCAGAGTCTTTTGTTTTGTTTTTGTGAAGAAGATCAGCCCTGAGCTAACATCTGTTGCCAAACCTCCTCTTTTTTGCTGAGGGAGACTGGCCCTGAGCTAACATCCGTGCCCATCTTCCTCCACTTTATACGGGACGCTGTCACAGCATGGCCTGACAAGTGGTGCATTGGTGCGTGCCCAGGATCCGAACCTGTGAATGAACCCTGGGCTGCCCAAGTGGAGCATGTACACTTAACCACTGCACCACCGGGCCGGCCCCTGTCAGGGTCTCATTGAGTCACTAAAGAGAAATAAAAAATTAGTACAGGTTCTTTTCACTGTGAGCTCCTCAGAGACGCAGATCTTGACGACTTGGAGATTTTGTTTATTGGAAGAGGCATCAAATAAAAGACTCTTTGCAGCCGCAATGGAAAGGACCATACCAGGTACTCTTAACCAATCCATGCACTGCGAAATTAAAAGGCATAGACTAGTGGATTCAAAAACGGCCCCTCTAGGGGCTGGCCCCGTGGCACAGTGGTTAAGTTTGCATGGTCCGCTTTGGCGGCCCAGAGTTTGCAGGTTCAGATCCTGGGTGCAGACCTATGCACTGCTTATCAAGCCATGCTGTGGTAGGCATCCCACATATAAAGTAGAGGACGATGAGCATGAATGTTGGCCCAGGGCCAATCTTCCTCAGCAAAAAGAGGAGGATTGACAACGGATGTTAGCTCGGGGCTAATCTTCGTCACAAAAACCAAAACAAACAAACAAAAAATAAAAAAGGCCCCTTCACCTGAGTAGATTACAATTCTTGTTTCTGACACACAGCTTCTACTGACCTACAAACCAGGATGAGAAGAAGATGGCATCTGTTGTAGACAGCTGTTTCAAGACTCTGGACCAGGCCTGTATTTCAAAGCTTATATCTTCTCATTTAAACCTTTGTAATGCTTAAACTACATACCTACTTTATAATTGCAATTCTTTGCTCAGTGTTGTAAGACTGGCTTGCAGGCTGGAATGATGGAAACTCATTCTTCTAAACTAATCATTTCAAGTATTAAATTTATTACCATTGTTACTCTATCTGTTGTATAATGTTATCAACAACGTAATCATAAGAAGTCATGCAAAAGCACATATACAATGTTTCTGCAATAATCTAAAAATAATTGACAAGTTACATAACCTATGAAATGCTTCCCCTATCAATATATACCTCCATGCTTGTATACTAGGTTCAGCTGTTTCCCTCAATGTGGGTAACTGGGTAAATTAGAATAAAGCCCAGCTGCAAGGGACATGATGGACCCAGGGCAGGAAGCAACCACCCTGGTGTTGAGGGACAATATTTTGATCATTGATGCTTTTTATCGAAAAATTATTGATCAAAAGGGGAACATGATGTAATAAAAATTAAAAATGCTAAGGTGTTTGAGGAAGCTATTCTGCTTTAAACCTGATTTGGCCTGAATTTTATTTTAACCAGAGCAGCCTGACTTATGGCTGGACAAGCATACATTGCCCATCTGCTTTAACTCACTACCCCAAAGCAAAGGACGTGCTCTGAAGGAGG